ATCCATCTGTCCAGGCAGCCATCCATTCATCCATCCATCCAGCCACCCACTCACCCACCTACCCAACCATCCATCCCCTCATTCCATAAAAGATCTGTGTCTCACAATAGTAAGACTAGCACACATACCCAAAACACTTCAGCAGAAACTGATTTTCACAAGCGGCACTTGGGACCCAGTTCCTCTCATCACAGAATTCCTATTGTCAAAAACTCCCTCTGTCCCCCATTCCCCAGCCCTCCCAATGGGCCTCTGGAGGCACCGTGGTTTGGTTTATTTTGTCTCTTTTTGTGTCTTTCAAGTTGACCTGGACTTTTCTTTCTGAATTTCTCCACCGATCTTCAGAGAGACTCTTTCCTAAAGCCAACTTAACTGGTTAGATGTTCTAATTACCAACCTCTAAACTTTTACATATCTAAATGCATCAAAAAATACTGGGAGTAGGCAGGGTGTGGTGGCTCAGGCCTGTAATCCCACCACTTTGGGAGGGGGAGGCAAGAGGATTGCCTGAACCCAGGGGTTTGAGACCAGCCTGGGCATCTTGGCAAGACTTCAACTCTACAATAAATAATAATAATAAAAACTTGCCAGGTGTGGTGTTGCATGCCTGCAGTTCCAGCTACTTGGAAGACTGAGGTGGAAGAATTGCCTGAGCCCAGTAGGTCTAGGCTGTGGTGGCTGTGACCTTGCCACTGCATTCCAGCCTGAGCAACAGAATGAGACTCCGACTCAAGAAAGAAAGAAAGAAAGAAACAGGAGCAGATATGTCAAACTGTAAACAGTGAATATCTCTGGGTAGTGGGAATAATTTTTTTTTTTTTGAGTCAGAGTCTCACTCTGTCGCTCAGGCAGGAGTACAGTGACACGCTCATGGCCACCACAGCCTTGACCTGCTGGACTCAAGCGATCCTTCCGCCTCAGCTTTCCAAGCTACCACACCTGACTAATTTATCTCTTGTAGTGATGAGATTTTGCCAAGTTTCCCAGGCTGGTCTCAAACTCCTGAGCTCAGGCATTCCTCTTGCCTCGGCCTCCCAAAGTGCTGGGATTACAGGTTTGAGTCACCGTGTCTGGCCAGGGAATAATTTTTAAATTTAGTTTTCTTTCTGAAACTTTATGCAGTAGTATACATATCTTTTGTAATTGGAAACATGATATTTAAAAATAACATTTCAATTTTTAAAAATAGTTGGAGGCTGTGACTCATGCCGCCAATCTCAGCACTTTGGGAGGCTGGGGCAGGAGTATCACTTGGGACCAGGAGTTTAAAACCAGCCTGAGCAACATAGTGAGACTCCACCTCTACAAAAATGATTAACCAGGCATGGTGGCCCAAGCCTATAATCCTAGCTATTCAGGAAGCTGAAGTGGGAGGATCACTTGAACCCAGGAGGTGAAGGCTGCAGTGAGCTGGGCTCGCACCACTGCACTCCACCCTGGGCCACAGAGTGAGACCCTGACTTCAAAAAAAAATTCATAGATGTTTCTGTTTCAATTTCTGTTACCTCTCTTCTCCCCTCCCAAAGCTTCTTTTCCTATTTTGCCAACATTTGAAATGTTTTTAGCCCATTCATTGAAGGAACTTTATGCTCTTAAGTTCAAGGTGGTAGGACATTTTTTTTTTTGGAGTCAGAGTCTCACTCTGTCTCCCAGGCTGGCGTGCAGTGGCATGCTCACAGCCACCCCAGTGTCAACCCACTACGCTCAGGTGATCCTTCTGCCTCAGCCTTCCAGGTAGCCGGAACAACAGGCACGCACTACCACACCCAGCTAATTTTTTGATATATTGTAGAGACGAGGTCCCACAAATTTGCCCAGGCTGGTCACGAACCTCTGGGCTCAGGTAATCCACTTACCTCAGCCTCCCAAAGTGCTGGCATTACAGACTTGAGCCACCTCACCCAGTTAGTAGGCACATTTAAATTCATCCTCTGCAGAGCAAGAGACAACCCTACCTCTAACCACACTGGTTTGCATTTCTTTGCCACCTCTGTGAGGCTGATGTGTGAGCCCATGTGGGGTGGATCCCTCTTTGTTTACATTGTATATGGCCATTAGACCCCTCTTCCCCCAAGATGCTAAGACAGCAGCTGGGAGGAAAGAGTTTAATATTAAAAAACCCAAACAGCTGGGCAAAAGATTTGGGTAGATTCTTCACACAGGAGGATACAGGATGAATAATCGCACACTGAAAGATGCTTCACATTGTTAGTTACCAGAGTGGCACAGCTGAAAACCATGAGCAACCCCAGGTATTGGCGGGGGGGAATAGGGGGCGTGGACCCCTCACACATAGTTGGCAGCAACGCTAGGGGCGCCGCTCTGGAAAACTGTTTGGCAGGCTCTTACAGAAACACACACTTACCATCTTAGTCACCAGCTTCACTCCAGGGTGTTTATCAAGAGGAAGGAAGCCGGGCTCAGTAATCCCGCGCTTTGGGAGGCTGAGGTGAGTGGATTGCCTGAGCCCGCGGGTTCGAGACCCGCCTGGGCAACTTGGCGAGACCTCATCTCTACAATAAATAAAAAAATCAGCCGGGCGTGCTGC